GTCTTTCACGAGTGCGAATATAGTGGGTTGAGCACTTCCTGTATCTCAAAGTCTTATGTACACTTGCACAAATGTCTTTCTGTGTGGGTGTAACCGTTGGCGAAATCTTGTCGCGATAAATTTGAGCTCCAAGGTTTGAATTCTGACGAGCTCCACCGTAAACTAACAACATGTCGGCGAACTCTTGATTCGAGAACGTTGTAAATAAACACGACGACGTACGCGAACAAAAAAAAAACAACACGCCCGATGCTCTGTTCGACAAAACGATAAAGAATTTATCTATGCCAAAACAATAACTAACCACTGCTACCGTTTGCAATCGATTGCCGGTTCGATAAGAGTGATGAAAGACCAGCGCGGTGGTTGTCATGTGTGTTTTAAATACTTAAGTTTAATAAAACTTACTTACTTACTGACTTTAAATTTTGGCTTAACCTAGAAAACTGTATGCCATTTATTTGTTAATGTGTTAATTACCCAATTTAAAAACGTTTCAGATTAGATTATAAAAATTAGTAGAGATTGTGGTGACTTTTGGACCATGGGTCATATGATCTTTTTGACTTGTTTTGCGCCCCCCCCCCTATTACCCATTTGAATAATGGACTACCATAACGTTTACCCCTGTACGTATATATTGGCCCGCCCTAAATATCAACTGTTCTTTCTTAGGCTTCGTGTAGGAATAAAATTGTCTACAAACAAAGAAACTTATTTTCTTTGTTCGTAGTAAATTTTAAAACAACAAATTAGCAATCATGCTAAACTAGAGAAAAATTAAACTTCGAAAATAAAAGCCTGCAACCTTTTCTCTTTCAAGTTTCAACAGAAACTGAAGATTCGCATTCGAATTGCGACACGACACACGGTGGAGCAAAATTATACAGTAGACATGTTGCTCTTGATAGCTCGAAAGGTTTCGATCAGTTATGGCCCGGAATTAAACCTCCATCCTAGGACTTCCATAAGAGGCTTTTCAGATTGGTCCGAGGCTCCGGCTAGTTCGGCTCTTCATCCCACAACGTCAACATAAGTGTTCCACAGGGATTAGTCCTGGCGCCAATATTGTTCCCATTACCTCCTTTCCTGTATGATCAATCCGATTGACAGGTTTGTTGATGACAGCACCCTGAATGCAGGCATTCAGTGTGGCAATCCGATCTCTGCTGATTAACTAGAGAGAGTAACACCAGTAGCGACGAATCTCTCTGACGATAAATCTGGAAGTTATAACTGCTTTAGGGATGCAACAATTTGGCACAGTTCAATGCTTTCAATACTGTAAATTAAATGAGTGTGATTAAAATCGGTTGCATCTACCGAAAAATAGGTAGACCTGGTAACACTCAGTCGCAGTGCCCCAGTATTTAGGCTTCTGCTTACGCGACTGCATTCGTTGGGCCCAATTCTAAACAATCTTAGAAAAAAACGGAAAAAGAACATCAAAGGAGAACAGAAGTGCATTTTTACAGAGGCGCATTAGCATTGTTAACTAACTTAGTAGGCTGCTGTTGACAAATTCAATTTTTTTCGATCTAAAGCTGCCCGATTTTATTTTGTTTACACTGCGAGTCGCACTCGTTACTTCACTAAATGGATGTTTCTTAACTCTTTCAGAGGTACTACCAAGCTGAGCATCCCCGCCAAGGTAGACGAAAAATCGTACGAAGAACGGCTGCTTGAAGACGAAGCTAAGCGACATAGTAATCAGCAACCTATTGTAGACAACACCTATCAGTTTCATCTGAACGAAAAAGCGGATATCACTGAATCAAACAGACTTGATGATGTTGTGGAGGATGAAACTTTCGCAGGTACGTATCCTACTAAAAAATGTTTGGTAGAATGACATCTAAAGACGTAGCATTATTCTTTAAAGTGAACTATAAGTTAGCTAGAATAGATAATAACTTTATATTACAAGGAAGAAGTGTAATTCGCAAGTTCGGGTTCTATAGCACTTTGTTGAATAACGGTTGAGTAATATTTCAGGCTGGGTGGGAAACAACGCTAATACTAGACTGAATTCCAAGAAAACAATTACATTGTTCTCCTCTAAATATGTCATAATCTCATTTTTTGTTCGATTGCAAGTCTCATATCATAAGATTGGGATATGATACAATTCTGATATTCAATGCACATTAGTAGATTTGCAATGAAACGTTCGATTGCAGGATATAAGGACCTCTTGGGCGTAGGTCCAGATGGGACCTTCAACAATTCGTAGTGCCAAAGGAACTGTACGAGGTGTCAAGAACCGTGTTAGGGCCGGTATAGCAACCTTTTTACAAATCAACAATTCACCTGGGGGAAAGGTGAGTTACATACTTTAGGAGTCGCCAGTCACTTAATACAACCGTAACTTTGAAGGTACTGATCTATCGCGGATGAATTTATGAAGTAAAATACTATGAGCTGAGAAAAAAACTGTTTAGACTTGTGAAATAAATGCTGAGACTAAAAATGGCAAATGTAAGATTCGGACAGAAATATTCAAACTTTATCCTTACGTGTTCAAGGAACCCTGGACATAAGCAAATGAAACTATAGGACGAATGCCTTGTTCAAAGGTAAAAATGTACAATATTGAGTAGTAAGTGACGTACACCGTTTGTCGTCTTTCCTTCAAAGATTTCTTTACATTATTATTTATTTGGGTATTCATCATACCCATAGATCTTGTAGACGATCAAGTTTCTCTTTAACGATGGAAAAATGGGCACTTCAAATATGCATTTCAGTTTTTAGGGTGTTTCAGATATTAAATCACTTATAACTCAACTTTTAAGTAAAGTTTCTATGGATCTTTTTTGTTCAGAATCATCCAGAAAATACGACAAAAATTTGTCCGGAGCGTATGAAACATATGTATCTGTGTGTAATTTGTTTGAAATAATTGTTTTAGCAGTGTGGACAAAGCTTTAGAAGAAATTTTAATGAAAATGTGGGTCATCTATTTGTTAGCTACAATTACATATATTTGAAACTGATCAGTTACTGACTTCCACGATATTCATTTATACTTGATTCGCCACTAGGTGATGAAGTAGTAATAGTAGTAAAAATTTTGAGTATATGATATTGGTTTTTGAATGTTATATGACATGTACATCACGAGAAAAACATGTCACTCAATTCCGTCAGTCTGTCTGTATGTCGTACTCTCATCGATAACTTGGAAGTCAAATTTTCTTATTCCACAAATCATCTGTCGTGATAGAAACATGTATCGGTTCTCGTCTTGTTCTACAGTCTGGGCTCAGCGCCCGGCGTAACGGTCTGCTTGATTGTTCTTCTCGTACTGCGGCGGTGCTTCGGTGGTTACTGCAGCGTCCGGCGATGTGGCAAAGATCAATGTTGCCAGATAGATGGTAAGTACTGGTAGGACAGGGAATGCATGTGTATAGGCTAATTATACAGGGTGTTTCAGTTTATTGTTGCATAATTTTAAGATTCGATAGGACTTTTAAAAGCAATGCATAAAGTCTACATAAACATGGGTCGAAAATGCGTGGCTTCCGAAATACAGGGTGTTTAAATTTACTTTCTAAAATAGTTTTTTTTTAAATATTTCGAACAATGTTTGATATATAACAATGAAAATTAGTATACAAGGGTTTTTTGGTACGACAAAACGAACCATGGGCATAGTTTTACTGTAGCCGCTAGAGGGCGCTCTCTACTGTAGCTGTAGTTTATTAAAATGTACGAAAAAAATTTTTTGGTGCAATTTTTTGCTTTTTGAATAAAAAAAACTGATTCTTCGCACTTTTCAACATAAAAAAGCTCTCGTGTGAGTTTTCGTTATAGTTAGCCGTTTTTGAGATATTTCGATTTTTAAGGTTCGATGCATTTTTAATTATTTATGGGAAAATAATATTTCTTTTACATTTTCGATTTGGGCATTACAAGTAATTAAGATGATCGTTTAGATTGTGTTTTTAAACACAGCAATAATTCCTAACTCCAAATAAACACAAAAAAAAACAGAATATTAATTTGTTTAATTTTCCAATATTATTTTTAACAAATTAAATTAATTATTTACAACTAAAATGCTATTGGATAGTTAGGACAAACATACAAAATCTAAAGTAGTTGCTCGAAATGTAAACCCAATTGTTCAATACACAATTCACATCTACGAATGATCGAACGTGGTATAGCATTATTCAAATAAGGCCTTATTTCATCACATGCATTCCTGATTCTGTCTATTAGCATATCTCTTGTGGTTACGGGAGTCTGGTACACTTTTTCTTTTAGAAATCCCCACACAAAGAAATCTAATGGATTTAGGTCAGGGGATCGTGGAAGCCATGCGACTGGTCCTCCAGGGCCGATCCATCTTTCTGGATAATTTTCGTCCAGCCAGTTTCTAACTATTCTTGAATAATGAGCTGAACAATCATCAAGCTGGAACCAGGCAAATCTTCTTAAATCTAACATAACATCATCCCACATATTTGCATGTTCAGCCTTTAAAAATTCCAAGAAGGTCGCAGCATTTAACCTTGCAGGCAAAGGTAGGGTCCAAATAGTCGATTACGGTAGATACCAATCCACACGTTCACACTAAATTCATGCTGAAATTTCTTTCCCGAACTGCATGCGGATTTTCATGCGACCAAATATGTTGATTATGAAAATTTACCACTCCACGTCTAGTGAAGCATGACTCATCGGTCCATAAACGTTACTTAAAAACTCCCTATTATTATCAGTTCTATCAAGAATCCACTGACAAAATGTGATTCTTCGTTCTCCGTCCCCTGGCTGTAGTCCTTGCACAGGTTGCAAATGGTAAGGACGTCTATGGTCATTTCTAAGAACACGGTGAACATGGCTTGCTGCAATTCACAAGGCACCAGAAACTCTCCTAACACTTGTGGTCGGATCTCTATCAAAATCACGCAGAATCATACTGGTAAATCTGCGCTGACGAACATTTATGTTTTGATCCCTTGGAAGATTTCCAAAACCATTTTCAATTATTTGGCGATGCACTCGTACAAATACTGAGCGAGTTGGATTCGTCTGTTTGGAAATTTTCGTGCGTATTCTCTGGCTGCTTCTGCTGCGTTTCCATTTACAAAGCCATACACAAAATGAATATCCGCTAACCCTTGATTGGAGAATAAAAATGGCATTTTTATAAAACTTACAAAAAAAAGAACAAGTAAAAGAAACTAAATTTCGTGCATTCACAATTGCCAAAAAACGTTTCAGGTTTCAACAGACAACAAAACTAACTGTCAACTAATTGACGTATAACCTTATACTGCTTTAAATTTTAAAAATATCTGCAGGCCCAGCCTACTCCTAAAAATTATCGAGATACTGACTTTTCAACGTTATTTTATCATAAATAATTAAAAAATGCATCGAACCTTAAAAGTCGAAATATTTCAAAAACGACTAACTATAGCGAAAATTCACAAGAGAGCTTGTTTATGTTGAAAAGTGCGAGGAATCAGTTTTTTTATTCAAAAAGCAAAAAATTGCACCAAGAAAAATGTTTCGGTAATTTTAATACACTACAGGTTCAGTAGAGAGCGCCCTCTAGCGGCTACAGTAAAACTATGCCCATGGTTCGTTTTGTTTGCACTGTTATACATCAAATATTGTTCGAAATATTTAAAAAAAACTATTTTAGAAAGTAAGTTTAGACCCTGTATTTCGGAAGCCACGCATTTTTCGACCCATGTTTAGTTAGACTTTATGCATTAATTTTAAAAGTTCTATCGAATCTTAAAGTTATGCAATAATAAACTGAAACACCCTGTATAACCCTGTATAACTCTTGTTTGACTGACTTGATTGGTTTAATTTTTCTGTTGTACTTGTTCGTAACTTTTTTCCCTCAGAGGGCTTAACTTATGGTCATTCATGAACTGTTGTGTAGAAAGTGCAATCAACCTACTTGCCGTTAATTTTGAAGAGATGCTAGGATATCAGATGAGGCGAAAACCCGCATTCGAGAGAGAAATTTCGCAATACGATTTTTTTCATAATCCGTTTTTTGAATGCCCCTTAATACGTATGAATCAAGAGGTAGCCGGTCAATAAAACAGAGCCAATTTATTTAAACATTCTTACTTTACAACGAATTTTGTTTTAGGTACTTGAATCTCTCTGAACAGGAAGTATCCTATGCTACTTTTCTCAAAAGCTGACCTTTTTCGAAGTATAAGCGATTTAATGTCTGAAACCCTAAAAATGCTTACAAATTATGTTGAAAATTATAATTGTTTAGAATTCCAAGTATCTAAATTAAAAGTAAAGCCGTTCCTCACAAAACCCCGCAAAGTATTTTCAGCTTGGTTTCTAAGCTTAGTTCGTAGGCCAAAACTTCCTTTGATTTTCGCAACCTGGACTATTATACCAGTGCATGCGAAATACAGAGTCACTCTACGTGAACAAATTTTTCTGTGCGAATCAGACATGACATATCGAACCTCAATTAAAATTGAACATGTATATTTTAAGAGCACCCCACTTTCAACATTCCATTACCAGCTGCCAGCAGCTGCCCTTAACGAGCTGCGGCGATGCTTGCAGGCTCTGATCTCTGGTTGCTTCCGGTTTCCCTTATCTGCAGTCCGTTCCGGTATGCCAGGGCTGCTCCATGCCCTTTCCAACCCTCCCCCCTCCACTTCGCGTCATTATACACACACGATAAATACGCTCCCATTTCACTGGGCAAGATACCCATCGCCCAAAACGTGCAACGTTAACGGCTTACTTACATGAGTAAAACGAGAAACAGATATCTTGCAGAGGTAGAATCGTACAACTTCCATATTTTAAAAGTGTATTTTACGTTTGTCGTATCCAACGAATCCAAGTAGATTAGGAGGCAAGCATCGCTTGTCACCAAATTGTGTAGTTTTAGTGCAACCTTTTGTCTTATTTGCCTACGCTTGCCTATCAAAGTGACAAACCAATAGATAGGCGTACATTGTTTTCTCTGGAAAGGATATTCAAGTAGCTAGAAGTACTGGGTGTACTCACGTAGATCAAGGCAGAAATACTATCGGTGCGAATTGCTCAGTTACTGTTAATAAGCAGGGATAAACTAAATAAGCCAAAAAAACGGAAGTAAATACTTATTAAAGTTACAAGCATATGAACAACTACAGCGTAATTCGTAATTTTGGAAGGTGAACAATACCAAACATTCTTCATCAAACAGAGTAACAATGGCGGAATACTTTGTTTTTCTAAATAGCTATCGTGATCCGAGCATAAAGCAAACGATAACGCGAAAGTACCATTCCTAAGAACTTTTATATTTAAAGTTAAATTTCAGTTT